TCAAATATCTTTGACAGACTGAATCCAGGACAGGCCGTGTGGCTTAGTGGCATAGGTGAGTTCCAAATACAAAGGTGTCGTAGCATCAGTTTACCACAGTACAGGGCCTTGGGGGAAAGTGTAGAGTATACTCCCCAACGCAAATAATGGGGCTTGATTTTTTGGGGAGTCGGTAAGCTGGGCAACAGTTCCTATAGAACTGGGTCGTCACTCATTATAACGATTCAGGATTGAATCCTGTTTGTTGTGCATGTACTTAAACCTGCCTGTGCATGCCTTATTGAAGACAAAGGCAGGGAGCATTGCTTTCTGAGGGAACTAAAAACGTGTGTTAAATATTTTTGCCTCACATGACCATCACTTGCTATGGTGCTGTTTGCCTAAGAGTTAGGCTGTTTGCTTAATTAACACGTGAATATAGGAAGAACTATAAAGTGCTTGTTGCTGAGGAGTTGCGGCATATTTTACCTTCTTTCCACGAGTCTGTTTGGAGCCAAAGTATACACAACAGCTTTTCCTGCGCCAACAGCGTATGTAGAAGGTGCTTAGTCTTCGTGCACTTATTTCAAAAACAAAATGGTAAACCTGGGACACCGCACCAATGTTTAATGTCGCTTATTCGCACTGTTGTAAGCGATCAGTGAGGGGGAAACATACACTAATATGTCACTGACTTTTTTACACAGAATATATACGTGTGAATGACGTCATGTGTATGCAAATTTTTTGCCATTCCTTCTCCCTCGATGGATGTCTAGGTACTAGGCTGTAGGATCTTAGCAGAATATTCGTCCACACACAGGGTTTTTAGGTGGTGTGAGGCAAAGTGTGTTTGTGTGCTTTCCTATTAGTACAACAAGAGTGTAGCGTTTTAATTAAGTGACATGATTCCAACATGCTTAGTTCCTGTTTTAATTTGGAATGCCCTAATGAAGCAGAGTCATGGTGTATATGCATAACTATTCAGGATCAAACTATTTTATTCATTTTCAGATCAAACAGCATACAAGCATATGTCATCACCAAAAATGAGTGATTTGGCGAATCGTGTGGCAGCCGTCATTCCAGGAAAATGGATGGAAGTTGCTATTCAGCTGGAGATTAGAATGGGAGCAATTGATGCAGTTTGTGGAGAGAATCGCAAGTGTTTTCAACAATTCATGGCTATTCTCGACATATGGGAGCGATCTTCAAGTCCTCCATTCACCTGGAACACCTTAGTCAGTGTCTTGAAATCTCAATCAGTCAATGAGAATGCACTAGCAAGAGAACTGGAGCGTGAGTTTTGCTGTGGGGATGTGACCTCCCATTACGTACCAACATCCAGTTCGAAATAACAGTGCATGTTCAACTAATTCTTCTGTATTTATCTTGAGTAACTGATTGTAACTTACAGACTTACAGATATCAAGTGATACAAAAACTAAACGTTGTTTGCAGGGCAGCTAAGGCGATATAGTCTTACGGCTGTGCATGGGTCTACAGACTCATCGATCCATCAGGCACACAGCTTTGCTTTTTATGTTCCCTACACCTAATTAATTCCTAGGCAAGTCTGAGTATCTCAGGCCATTAGCCAAAATAGCAACATGCCTCACGTTCAACAGCGGAAATAGCTATTATGCTGGGACTTCAAATGATGTGATATCTTTTCTGGTTCTGTGTCCCACACGGGGTATTGATTTTACTTTGCAACATCTTACTGATCAGTCACTTAGGAAATGTAAAGTTACGGGCAATTGGGCCTTATAAGTATCCGTGCGCTACATACCTGTACCGTGGAAACTATGAACTCATGATGTGAACTTAATAATAACAGATAGTCTCCTGTAAATAACTGCTAATTTATGCAATTCTACCCTCAAACTGGGCTCTCTGCTCACAGATTCGTATCTCAGCATTTGAAACTCACATGCGCTTGCTCAAATTCTCTCTCTTATCATGTGATATGTAACAATGAATAATGACGATATACACCATTGGCAAACTGCTTCAGGCATCTTAGGAATGTTTCCCTAGACTGATCTAGCATTCAACTGTAAGGCTCGAGTTACGAAGAACATAAAGAGACAGATCCATACCTTGCTGACGGCCAGAGACGCAAAAGGTTAGGGGACAAGCAAATCTACCCCAGAATAGTTGGATCTTTCTTCACCCTAAAGTTGGATAGTGGTGGGTGTGGTGGACTGTGTAAAGGCGTTCCCTTGAATGTCCTACATAGAACACATGAGTCGATCATGTAACTGGTCAGGCTTTTCCCCCATAGGTATGAATAACCTTTGTCTGATTCTTTTTAAGTTTTCTTGACTCTATTAACACACTCGTAACGATAGGTGTCAGGGACCAAAAAGGTGGTAGAATTTGCCAATTACACTGACAAGATTCAGGTTGAAACTTCTTGGCAAGATGGGCCAACTCTGACACATCGAAGAGTAGACGGTCACATGGTATTCCTAGAATTATTTTGTGCTTGCCAAATTCCTTGGTTGGCGTAGTCCCAAGCATTACCTTGGCGTAATGTCTCGTCTGAGTAGCTCAATTGCGGGGCATCTGACTGGAATGGTAGGAAGTTGTGTTGCTGATCTAGACCCATGGTCTCGGAGGCATGTGTGTCAGAAGGGAGTGTATGTGTGGTGTTCATGTTCATCCAACACTTTGCTGAGTTCTGTGCAGCACCTGACAATACCCAACCCAATGTAGTATGAACAGCAGTAAATCCCCCCATCACCCCTGCAAACACTCCCAATGACATGTCGACCTGCAGACTTGTAGCCCCATCACCCCTTTCGTTCAATGCATGATGTGATTGGCAGACGAACCAGTTAGGACAACGTTCAGCATCAATGTCATCGGTTAGGAATCCAACTGCATTCCCACAGGTACATTTTCCCCAAGGTATTCGTATTCGTCTGATTGCTTAATCTCATCATCTAATCCATCCTCTGGCGTGTTTTAGATGATCTCTGCATCGAGTCCCATCAATGTGTCTAGCTTCTTCTTGAGAGTCACTTTCAGTAGAGAGAGTCGGTCCACATTCCAAGATATTTCATCTAGAGCTGTCCAAGAATGAGGCAAGTGCCCTTCACTTCATGGAATCTCATAAGCCATTTCTTTCAGTGGCTCACCCTGTGTTCCAGTGACGGCAATCTTGAAGAGAGGTCCAGGTCTCCTCAGCTCCAGAGCTGTGAGGAGGTGCATCCTCTCATTCTCTGCCTCCTCCAGCAAGGTGTGTATCCAGCCATGGTCCCGAGTCATGTGCCGCAGAGACTTCAAGTGACGCACCATTGCACCTATCATACGTGGAGACATGTAGAGTGTATTGCATCACATTACAGTCAAGATCATATTGCTGGATCTTTCTCACCTGGTACTCCGGCCACTGTCTCAAGATGATTCTTGACAGCCACTTCTTCTCATCCAGTGTACCAAACCTCTTGCCCCACGAATACCCAGACAACAGATCAAACCCCGTCCTCAGCATCTGCACAGAGTAATAGGCAGCCTGCAGGGGAGTAGGGTCAGTGTTTGGAGCAGTTAGTAAGAGTTGTGTGACTGTGTACCGTGTCAACAGGTTTCTCTGGAGGAGTGTGAGTGATCTGGACAGAGTTCAATTCCTCCTCACTCCACACAGGGCGAGGCAGAGTGTATCCATCACACCATCCATCCTACTGATCGCCAGTGGTCCCGGCAGCAGGTTGACTAGGTTTGCGGAAGTGGTCCAGAGACTTGGGAGGTCGTCCCGATCACTTTGGGGCCAGACCTGAGCCTCAGTGGTGGCTGGACCTGGAGCACTGCAGAGGAATGACCTCACTCTCAGTCCTCTACTCTGCTCCTCCTGCAAACAACACTTCCACTAACTGATGTGCACGACCAAATGGTGTGGCATCACCGAGTAAGACTATATCTGGATCTAGGTCTAACCAGGAGAGGTGACGGAGTGGACTGGTGGACTGGTGAGACTGCAGCGTTGATGTACCTCCTGGCAGCAGTCTCCTCACTGCTGAACTTCCACTCATAATTAACCCTCGGCGCGCATGCGCAGCGAGTGTTACTGTGTAACTGTAGTTGGGTTTGTCTGTCTGTCTGTCTGTCTGTCTGTCTGTCTGTCTGTCTGTCTTACTCTTCATCTCACTTCTCGAGTGTTCTTTCGTCTCACAAAGGATACCACCTACCGAACGGGCAATGAAGGTCAGAAACTTCGAACGGTTTTCTCTGAAAACGCTCTGTTGCAAAGCTAGAGCGCTTCCACCATTGTATATACGGCAAATGCGCTGCGGAAAATGCGCATGCGCTTATATTTAGCTCGTATGGGGCTCTAATACAGCCCTACAGAGTCAGAGCGGGGGCTCTATCTTTCACCTTGAGAGATTATCCAGACTTGTGAACTGCAGAAAGTTAGGTGTGATTATTTTTTTGTTCGTTGTTTGTGCCATCCCTAACAGGCAGTGCTAAATGAACTTTGAGCACAGAACCGGGTCTGCTTGCTCTGTGTATTTTGAAGGCACAAGAAGTCACAACGAAGGGCGTGTATCGACTCTCGCATGCTAATCTACTACTGTAGCTAGCCCGTGTCAGACTCTCTGCGGGCTATATACTAGCGGGACCGGCCGGGAGACCGCGAGTATACGCATACTAATAATATACCGCGCATGCGCGGGTTTGCACTTCAGTGATTTCAGCCTTACACGTACGTACTTTACGGGTGAATAATACCCGGTCGTCGCTTGCGCACTACGTTAGTTAATGTTTGGCGAGCGGGAGGCCCAACTTGGGATTTGCCCGCGACGTTCGGTCTGCATAACGTGCCGTCAGCGCACAGCTTTCCTTTCGTGAAGCGGCAAGACTGAGCTAGTACCTGTCGCCGTTACATGCGCGCTGTATGCCAGAACGGTGACGGTACTTACCTTACGCTTTCAGCTCGTCTGTCGTGGTCCACCAGGCAGCTGACATGGATAGGCAGCGATGGCGAACCACGCACCGTGTGTGTAAGCGTAGCTAGCTACACAGACGATTGTTTTTTTTGTACGGGAAGAAGAAATATTTATTAAGATTATACAACAAAAAACAAAAAACAAAAAAGCTAAATTTATTTCCGTTTCGCGTATTAACCACGTAAAACCTTTTGGTATGTGCAGTGCCGTGGTGCCCGTCACAAACCACTCGAACGGACGACTATTTATATAGGGTAGCTCGCTCTCGCTGGCCAATCAAAGATGTCTGAAAAGGCGGACCTGACCTCCAGTTCTCCTCCACTGTCTCCGTCAGCGAACCGTTGGTCTCGTCACGAGATCCCTCTCTCTAGAAGAGAGGGCGAAGAGGTCTTAACTCACAGACTTTGGAGGGCACCACCTCGAAAGCCAGCTCCTGAACCTTTAGATAATATGGTAAAGCGTTATTCTTGTGTTTATATACCTGAGTGAGTTTGTTGGTAGAGTTTGTTAAAATTCACAGAGAGATCTTAGAACAGTTTTTCTAAGAATTTGCATTTGTTGCTAGCTGACCTGATGATAGCAGTAGAGCAAGAGTTTACAGTACATCACTGTATTGTTATAGTAGTGAAGCAGCAGCTCATGCAGTCACCAGTTGGTTTTTTTACCTCTGTACTGGACTTTATCAGGACGAAGTGATGAGCTCTATTTTCCAATCCGTCATTATAACGGTCACTTTAAGACTCTTGGAGTCTGAGTGTGAAGTATAGGAAGGCACAAGACACAGTCAGCTGCATTGGTTGGAGTCTGTCATGTTGGGTTGGGCGAAGCTTGGGTGCTTTTGGAGATATGGAGCTAGATGCATTGCAAGGTCAGAGAGATAAGGCTAGTGGTGGTATAAGGTAATGTCAGGTGATAAGTATCCAAAGAAAATCTTTAGCCAGGAGTGGGACTTACAGCGTCGTTGAGGTATACAGAGGAAGGTTAGAGTACATCGGAAGGGGGAAGGGTTGGATAAAGCTGAGTTATGGGATGAAATTCAAAGGAGGGTGCATTTTTTCCATGTTTTATTGTGGTACACTTTATTCTTATTGGACAGTATATATTGATCAGAGGGAGGGTGAAAGGAGGTTAAATTTTTCACTGTGTGGAGGTATCTGCATGGTTGTAGTGACCCCGGCAGATGAGGAACTCATGGGTTCAATTAGGAGTGAGATGAAGGGAAGGAGGGAGGAGTGTATTTTGTGTGATGAGGACTGCGAAATGTTGTGGGTGTCTTCCTGCTTATGGTGTCTGTAGAATCAATTTCATGTCTCAGTTTTGCATATATGTGCAAAAATTGAACTACTCACACTTGCTCGCCAGAATGCTTTGTATCAAGGTACACACTTCGTCCACAATCATGTATGATTAATGATGGTCAAGCCAGCAGGTTCTATTTTTAAAGAGCGTGCACACGGGTACAGCAAGTTCATGGGCGGTGTATGTATGTGTGTGTGTTTTTTTTCAGCAGTGTGGAATGTACCCTGTTGGGGTAGATTAGGGTCATATAAGGGAAGCGCCCGCACTGAAAATGTTGTCAGACTCAGCTCACCAGGTGACCCTGTTGTGTACACTCAAATTCCAGATGCAGCCTTCCACAGCGCACACAGCTCCATCACATGCTTGTTTGCCACATGCACAGACCCCCACCCTTTGAAGTAGACCACAGATTGTGGTGTATCAGCAGCTGATGACTTACCTCATCTCATCATCACTTGAGCCACAGCAACTGTCTATTTGTAAACAGTGCCCACATCCAGACACACACATACCACCACCACTGTATATAGTGTGTGCTCTGTAGGTCATAGTGCTGACAGTGAGAATGACACAAATTCTCTCCAGATGAGGTTTTTCATGCAATCCCATTGCCTCTAGAGTTTAAGCTCCAGTCAACCTCCTGATTCAGCACTTTCTCAATAGCTGTAGCCTGGGTTTGAGAGTATTCTGCGTGGTGCACTCCTGGGACATACTCACACGAATAGTTGGCATAGTTGGTTTTGCATGCAATCCCATTGCCTCATATGTGACCTGGAGTTTAAGCTCCAGTCAACCTCTCCTGATTCAGCACTTTCTCAATAGCTGCAGCCTGGGTTTGCTGAGGCTAAGAGTATTCTACATGTGGTGCACTCCCCGGGACATACTTACAAGTTGGCTCACCTGAACACCAGCTAGAACCTCTTCCCCTTGTGCAGCCTGATTACATTATAACTGTAAGCACGAACAGCTTAGGAATGTTTATTGCGCACAGCCTCTTCTAAACTGCGTCCCTCCCTCCCTCCCTCCCTCACTCCCTCTCTCTCTCTCACTCCATTTCGTCCTCCTTATCCTCCCGCTCTTGACTGCTGGAGTGATAGTGTTGCCAACATCCCCATACCGTGGTTCCTGCTGTAGAGGGACTCTCTGTTAGCATACTGTAGACCACCTCCAGTATTGCCTGTGTCTACAGTCCTAGCCACACAGTGGCTGGTGGTGACAGCCTTTGTTGTGTATGCTGATTGGACAGGGACTATTTGGAATGCTGTACCGACTTCCGTTTCTTTACATGGCTATAGATTGTATACAGTATACACAATGTATAGACATGCACGTGCTTGACCTATAACAACCTCCGTTCTTTCCTACCCACCTTCCCCTCCCCTATCCTCTAACCTCTACATCTATGCTGCTATAACAGTCTGTGTGCTACAATGCAGGGTGTACATGAAGTAATACTCATGGGACACGCAATTACATGTGTGTATTTCTTTGAGTGATTCTTACACACACCTTGCGGTGTGTGTGTAGACGAGCTCTGTTTTCGGTATGTGGCCAGTCCCAAGTACACGCTGCTTTCACATTCTTTTACATGGGATACGATTGTTTCCATATAAGTCCACCACGTGGAGTGCGGTGGGCCAACTAGTGTTGTCAGCACCCAAGAGAGAGAGACACTGTGTTTTGCTGCTGGTTGTCTGCCATGTAAGGTTTTGGTGTGCATGTTTTTTTGCTGGACGGGGTATGATATGTATAGTTGGTACGTGATTTGAGTTACTGCCTAGTGGATGGAGTGTTGCTTGCTGATCAGTGGTGTGCTCCATTTAGCAAACTGTAATTGGCGAGTGAACCAAGGTCACCTACATCTATAATCTTAATTACCTGTAAAACGGGTATTTTGCACTTGCGTCGTCTCACCAATAAACCTTTGTAGTTGCACGTGCAGGGAGTGTACTACCTGCTGTCTTTGTGTCGTCAAGTGGTCATTCATTCCATTTGGTTAGGGCAATAATTATGCAGAAGTCGTTTGTAAGCAAAGTAGGCCGACCTTGTCGAAATTAAGCATTTTGCCGCCGTTGGCTAACGCACACATACATGTGATGAAAATCATGTACATAATGTGCAAACGTTGTGTTCTTGCATTTGCTTTGCCCTTGCTCTCTCCTTGTTGTAGGATCAGCTCCTGATGTCATTGTCTCATACTGCCACAAATGGAAGTCTCATTGTGAAGTCATTATGGCATGCTATCCTTTTTGAGCAATGGCCAGTTGTGTTTATCTAGTGCATGTGCAATGGCATGTGCAAATGTGGGATTAATGTACTTACACATGGTCTTGAGAGCCGGCTGCTGATTATTCGAGTGTGCGGTAATTAGTGTTGAATATCATGGGATGTCCCTTGTCCACTTTGCTTTCCTCTTGTGACCACCAAAATACTTTGATGTTCTTTGACGAGAACCGACCAGAAAGACCATTAAGAGAGACGAGAGACCAGACGAAGACAAACCCAGAACTACGACCGACCCGAAAGAACGACGAACCCCGGAGGCCCCAGGACAGAAGAATTGACACGAGACGAGAAGACATTGACCGACTGAAACCCGTTGACAACAGAAAACGAGTGAGAACGTGAAGAACCCGAGACGCCCGAGACACTGATTTGAGAATGAGTTGACGAAGATGTAGAACCCTCCACCCGGACGATAAGACGAGAACGACAATTGAACACACAAACCCCACTGAAGAAAGAACCCTGATTGACGATGAACGGACCGACAACGACCTAGAGAAAGGACACCACGAAAGTACTTGTGACTGTGCTGGTCTCTATCGATAGTCTTACTCAGTCTCTGTGCAGTCTGAACATAAGATATGGAAACACTGACTAAACTGGCAAGACGACATTACGACGACCCATTAGACCCACGCAATTCTGGTCTTTGAATAGAAACGTAGTCTATTCCCAGACCGCTGCAGACTGCACAAGACTGAGTAAGACTATATGGAGACCGGTCTTTACAATCTCATATGAACACAAATTCATGATACTGACTCTATTTTCTCTACACACACACACACACCACACACTGCAGGTGGTACCATGGGGCCATCACCAGAGCAGAGGCAGAGGCAGTTCTGGCCAGCAAACGAGACTTTAGTTTCCTGGTCAGGAACAGCGAGAGTTGTCGCACAGACTACTCTCTCTCTATCAGTGCAGGCCACCCCTTCTCCCTTACTACTCCTCCACCATTGTCATGTGTCTCTGAATACACGCGTGTCGTTTCTTATGTGGAATCCTTCTCATTGAAATGGGACAGAAGAACGAGTCCATAGTGTTAGTGAGGAATCCATGAATTGTTCCTTGAGAATGTGTTATGGTGTCCTGAGAGAGAGGGGTTCCATTGTTCATTACTCAAGGATGGTGGGTGATAGTCTGCGTGCAACGCACATGTTCTAAAGGTGATATGATGTACATACCTAATATCTTGGCCTTGTGGGCATCTTATGTATATACTCTATTGCCATCAAAATGTACTTTAGCGTGCCTGGCAAGTGTGCATACCATATTAGGCAGACGGTATATTATAGCCCCAACTAGAGCCCACTCGTTTGGAGCCATTCTGACTGCCAGCCCATTTCCACATGTAATGTACTATCGTACTCTGACCTGTAAGTGCATGTAGGGTATATACACATGTAGACCTCTCCTCTAGTACAGCAAAAGGCAGTGTTCTGTCGTGTTTGTCCTTCACCGCTGATGAGCCTAGCCCAGTCCTGCCAAAGGAGTTGGCCCAACCACAAACTACAGTGTACTGTGCGTATGTATGTGTACCTATAGCATGGTACAGCATGCAGTTTATAGACCATGTGATGTGATGCGATTTAGATTTCCATGGGGTGCAGAATAAGACCTAGTCCGTGGCCGTGTGGATTCCACTGCCCTGATGGCATTGAGTTTACCATTTGCCATTTGTACCACCAGGGGAACTTATTCCATCAGGGAATGTCCAAAACTAGGTCCAAAAATCTGGGAAGATATATCTTAGTCCTGGTACATAGGGTGTGATGGTCTCTAATGTGTACGTGTACGCTGCATTCAGTTTATATGATTACACTGCCTCTGTCATTATGGACCAGTATAGCAGCAGCTCGTTTCTGTATGAAAGATTTATTGTGTAAAACCTCTGTTTACATGTACGTAGACCTAAGGTCTTAGGAGGAACATTACCAAACTCAACAAACGTACATATAAATGTATAACTGCCAGTATTGTAGGGTGTGCATCACTTGTGAAAGCTCAAGCTGTAGCTTTGTTTCTTCTTTAGCCAGGAAGTGGAGGCATCACTCGAATAGTCTCTCTCGGTACTTTCATCACAAGTTGTAGAGTCACTTTGGTCACCCAATCCAAATCTGCGGAGTGCTCAGCCTCAACTATGTGGTAGGGACCACTTGGAGTGCGTAACTAGCTCTCCAGGTACAATGCTACTTTGCTCCTCTCTCCCAAGCATTTCCACTACTCCGCGCGAGCTGGCAAGAGAGACCACGAGTAACAGCTAAACTAAACACCAGACCCATCAATTAGTGTACGGCGCATGCGGTTGACTTGACAGCACTGTGCGCGTCACAGTGCGACCGAGGGTTTGCACTTCAGTGACTTCATATTCTGTATGAAAGATTTATTGTGTAAAATCTCTGTTTACATGTACGTAGAGCTAAGGTCTTAGGAGGAACATTACCAAACTCAACAAACGTACATATAAATGTATAACTGCCAGTATTGTAGGGTGTGCATCACTTGTGAAAGCTCAAGCTGTAGCTTTGTTTCTTCTTTGGCCAGGAAGTGGAGGCATCACTCAAACAGTCTCTCAGTACTTTCACATCGTTGTAGAGTCACTTGGTCACCCAGTCAAATCTCTGCGGGAGTGCTCAGCCTCAACTAGTTTGTAGGGACCACTTGGAGTGCGTACCAGCTCTCCAGGTACAACGCTACTTTGCTCCTCTCTCCCAAGCATTTCCACTAGTAATACAACTTTGCTCAATACTTCTTGTGAGGCAGAGGGAGAGTACAGCACACTCCTTATCATGTGCTAGTGTCATTGTAAGGAGGCCATTTTTTCCCATGTTGCTACACTGAGGGGACTCTGAGACTGTGTTGATATGACTGCACACTAGTAGTGGAGGTCTATATCGTTGTAGTGGGTCTGTCCCATTGTGGACTCATTTCCTTCTCTTCCAGTGGTGGCTGGGAGAGAACCAGGGCTTAACCTCACTGGTTACTATTTTTAGCAACTACTTGGCCATTTTCGGCTCAATGACATAATCATAAATTTAGCAACGCGGATTATGATCAGGGTCTTCAAGCAGTACTGTCTTGGTGTACATGTAACTCAGAGGAGGTCGGACATGCACAGGGATTGCATCATTGTAATGAAATTTATGATGACACAGCAATTTCTTTCCCGTAAAGAATGTGGTTTCAAGCGAATTCTCCGTCTGTGTTGTCAACAAACTAAGCATAGGTCGAGCAAGTCGTCGCAGGTCGTGCATTCCTCAATGCGCTAATTGAAATTCTTGTACTATTCACGTGACTGTGTCCGACCTCCTCTGCATGTAACTTCTCATCAGTAGTGGCTGCTCTTTCAGTTGTCTGTCCTAAAGCTATTACAAGGACAAGCATGTCTTTGTATGCAGCTTGCACAAAAGCACTCTGCAAACCCTTGACCCTAATGTAAAATGCATACCCCGACCCCAATATAAAGTGTATGCTATATTTTGTCACCAGTAGTTCAGTTTCAAAATATGTCACTTCAATGCCATTACTACTCCTCTCCTGTTGGTTCTCATCCTTGTCTAGTATAACAAGGTTAAGATTGTCCATTCTTTGTGTAGTATCTAGAGAATGTATGATGTAATGATGATGTCGTGAGTAATGACGAAAAAGCTTAATACAGCACTGCTATTGTTCAGTCTAGCCTGATATGGGGATAAGCTCATGCCATAGTTCACTCACTTGCCAACTGTTTGCTGATGTTGCAGCTTGCATACCGTCTCTCTCTCTCTCGCCAGAACAAAGGTATCTAATTTCATTCCCTTGCCTTATATGGACGAACTGAGTTTGCCTGCAATTAGTTTTTCGAGGGAGGTGAAATGAAGTGTGTAGTAGTGAGAGGACACATACCACATGCTGAGTCCTGAGCATCTTAAATGATGGAGGATATATATACAGTATTAAGAGTTAAAGGGTAGAGCAGCAGCCATACAGTGCTAATTATTTGCATCTTGCTTGTTTTCGTGCCATAACTTTCACACGTCACTTTTAACGAAAATGTAAACTTAAAATCATGGTAGTGTACAGCACTTAACTGGCGGTTGTATGCTTTTTTTTGCTAGCTTGTTGCACTGAGCAGATGGACTGAAGGACAGACACTTTCAGACTGTGCCCGAGTGCATCTTCTTCTACACCAGCAGAGGCTCAACATTAGGGGAACTGACCACAAAAAACTGCGATACCCAGTGCCCAGGGATCACTATAAACCATGACGTGCGGTGGCTCCTGGAGCTACACAACGTCATAGTGTGCATTATTTGAGAATTGTTCTGTACCTTATCTACTACAGTATATACTGTACATGAATCACCCTCCGTGTATTGCAAATGATGTGTGTGTGCTGTCTGTCTGTGTGTGTAGGTATGGTACATGGAGTACATAGCCTTGATACTGTGTACTATGTATGTGTACATCTCACCTGTATGTATGTCTAGAACATTGTGTGTGAAACCAATATTGTCTACCACCCTCAATTATGCAGGTTAATGAAATATGAATAACATCAGTGAAAAATATTCAGATGAAAATCGGTCTGTGAATCCTACTGATGTATCTGGCTAATGTGGGTAGTTAGAAATTGAATGTTATGCAGTTGAGGCGAACACATTGTACTGTTTATGTATACTGGTGGTGTGATGTCATTGACCAGGAAAATGGATTAGTTTCAGAGGGTCTCATTGAGCCCAGGGTATGGTTCACCTCTCTGTGGTGACCCTCATCAGCTCTAATGGCCAGGAGCACATCCCTCATCATTGCATCACCCTACATCATAGAGAGAGCAATAACATTTGCATCATGTGTTTTTGTGTGACATTTGATCCATGTGGTCTATTTACACGAACAGGAAGTGGACTCTGACCTCCACTTCCATGTCATGACAGGTAATGTGGAGTCATGCATGTATACACAGACTTACAGGCAGTCTCCAGCAGCAGACAGCAATCTGAGGAGCTTTTGTATTCTCCCACAGCTTCAGCTGGCCCCAGGAGCACATCCCTCATCATTGCATCACCCTACATCATAGAGACAGCAACACTTGTGACATTTGATCCATAATGCAATAGTTGTGGTCTATTTCTGATTGACATGAACAGGAAGTGGACCCGACCTCCACTTCCAGGTCATGTCAAGTCATGTGGAGTCATGTGTACAAAGGCTTACAGGCAGTCTCCAGTAGCAGACAGCAATCTGAGGAGCTTTGGTATTCTCCCACATCTTCAGCTCCCCCTTGTCCAGACTCTGCAGTGTGCACAGTACACTCTAGTGGGCTGCTTGCTCACTAACAGAGCTGGCTATCAATCAAGTGTCATGTAGAATGGAGTATGTACCTCAATGCAGTGAGTGTAGGTCTTGACTGCCTCTTCCTCCAAGTAGCCAACAAACTTGTGGCAAAATCTGGGACTGAGGAAATACGCTATCCAGAACATACTCACAAACAGACCTGGGGAGGGAGAGAAGGACCAGTAGGTTTGAGAATGACAAGATAGACTTAAAATGTGCCAAAAGGTTAGTAAGGTTAGTAAAAAGGCCCTGGGTACACACTTCATGGAATCTCTAAGCCATTTCTTTCAGTGGCTCACCCTGTGTTCCAATGACGGCAATCTTGAAGAGAGGTCCAGGTCTCCTCAGCTCCATAGCTGTGAGGAGGTGCATCCTCTCATTCTCTGCCTCCTCCAGCAAGGTGTGTATCCAGCCATGGTCCCGAGTCATGCGCCGCAGAGACTTCAAGTGACGCACCATTGCTCCTATCATACCTGGAGACATGTAGAGTGTATTGGGTCATATTACAGTCAAGATCATATTCCTGGATCTTTCTCACCTGGTACTCCGGCCACTGTCTCAAGATAGATGATTCTTGACAGCCACATCTTCTCATCCAGTGTACCAAACCTCTTGCCCCACGAGTACCCAGACAACAGATCAAACCCCGTCCTCAGCATCTGCACAGAGTAATAGGCAGCCTGCAGGGGAGTAGGGTCAGTGTTTGGAGTAGTTAGTAAGAGTTGAGTGACTGTGTACCGTGTCAACAGGTTTCTCTGGAGGAGTGTGAGTGATCTGGACAGAGTTCAATTCCTCCTCACTCCACACAGGGTGAGGCAGAGTGTATCCATCACACCATCCATCCTCCTGATGGCCAGTGGTCCCGGCAGCAGGTTGACTAGGTTTGCGGAAGTGGTCCAGAGACATTGGGAGGTCGTCCCTGATCACTCCTGGGTCGTCCCTGAGCCTCAGTAGTGGCTGGACCTGGAGCACTGCAGTGGAATGACCTCACTCTCAGTCCTCTACTCTGCTCCTCCTGCAAACAACACTTCCACTAACTGATGTGCACGACCAAATGGTGTGGCATCACTGAGTAAGACTATATCAGGATCTATGGTCTAACCAGGAGAGGTGACGGATTATTGAAGTGGACTGGTGAGACTGCAGCGTTGATGTACCTCCACGATCTCCTCAACTGCTTCCTTGAGACAGGCAGCAGTCTCCTCACTGCTGAACTTCCACTCATAATTGATTTTTCAGCCTTACTTTATGGACAGATTTCAGTAGAGTTGAGCGGCGAATTTATACCGGAGCGAGCCGGATGGATGACCTTCGATCGTGTGATTCTCACGCATGCGCACTACGTTTGTTTATCAAAGATGGCTGAAAAGGCGGACCCTCCCTCCAGTTCTCCTCCACTGTCTCCGTCAGCGAACCGTTGGTCTCGTCACGAGATCCCTCTCTCTAGAAGAGAGGGCGAAGAGGTCTTAGCTCACAGACTTAGGAGGGCACCACCTCGAAAAAAGCCAGTTCCTCTTCCTCGCCGTCCTACACTTTTCGATCAGGTAAAGCGTTATTCTTGTGCTTATATACCGGAGTTAGTTTGTTGGTAGAGCTTGTACGGATTCTTGGGTGCTTTGGGAGATATGGAGCTAGATACATCGCAAGGTCAGAGAGATAAAGCTAGTGGTGGTGTAAGGTAATGTCAGGTGATAAGTATGTTGTGGGTGTCTTCCTGCTTATGGTGTCATATCCTAATTGTAGTTACATTATCCTGATATTTTATAAACAACATATCCTGAGAAATCCTGAAATGTGACTAAAACATAATTATGTTCACACAAGAGTCTAAGACCTGCGCTTCGAAAAACGCATGCGTATATACTTCTTGCGCTTTGGCGGGGGTGTATCACGCTGTTGTGGGTCACTCTCTGTCTCGGACGTTTCACGCTCATAGCCAGTAGATGACGTGGCAGCAGACGTTCATCCTGCTTCTGCCCTGTCCGACATCATGCTGACGAGGTCTTTTAGCATCTTCAACTGCCGCGCCGTATAGTCTCGCGGGGCCACACGTTCCGCGGGTGCAGGGAAACCTTCCCCCTTGCCCTTGGCCCCGCGAGACTACGTCCCGCGCACCTCCTGCGCACGCCCGTGAAAAATCCCGAGTAAAGTACATGCTCCGTCCGACACATACTTAGAGGACCGAAAATCCGAAGACTAAATCCGAAACTTTGGCAGCACTGCTTTAATCTTGGAGTATGAGTGTGAAGTATAGGAAGGCACAAGACACAGTCAGCTGCATTGGTTGGAGTCTGTCATGTTGGGTTGGGCGAAGCGGATTCTTGGGTGCTTTGGGAGATATGGAGCTAGATATTACATCTCAAGGTCAGAGAGATGAGGCTAGTTGTGGTATAAGGTAATGGTAATGTCGGGTGATAAGTATATATCCAAATAAACTCTTTAGCAAGGAGTGAGACTTACAGCGTCGTTGAGGTAGACAGAGGAAGGTTAGAGTACATCCGAAGGGGGAAGTGTTGGATAAGACTGAATTCTTGGATGAGGAATTCATGGGTTCAATTAGGAGTGAGATAAAGGGAAGGAGGGAGGAGTGTCTTTTGTGCGATGAGGAGTGAGAAATGTTGTTGGTGTCTTCCTGCTTATGGTGTCTGTAGAATCAATTTCATGACTCAGTTTTGCGTATATGTGCAAAAGTTGAACTACTCACACTTGCTCGCCAAAATGGTTTGTATCAAGGTACACACTTCGTCCACAATCATGTACATGTTGTTAATAAGTCCATTACTACTGGGTCCCAGTTCTAGGTGACTGTGAGAGTAGATGGTGGGTTCATAATTTTATGTAAGATAATCTCTACTACTTTTCCATACAGGACGTTTATCACAAACTACTGGAATTCCAGGTACATATTATGTTACCTCATCATAATTATGTAGGTACTTTGTTGTATATTGTCTAGTTTATGTATACATCATATGTTGCTTCTCTATTCAATACCCTTTAATCTGTGGCACTCTGCTAGGATTGTCTCTGAGCACACATGCGTAGTGAGGTTTACGGTTTGTGAGTCTGTCTTTGGTTTGTCTGTTTACCATTATTACAGGCTACAAGGCTGCCAATAAGTGATACCAACACTGTCAGTGCTACGTAGACGTGAATATTACTGTTTCCCACGAAACCACTGCATTTACGGTTTTGCATGAAACACAAGCAAAAGAGCCATTAGCATAGGTAATGAGTAATGGCTGACCTCGACCGATTTTAAAACACCGTGGATGGCACAAAGTTACTTGTAAGATGAGTATCCCGTCTAGTATTGCTCAGTGCTACGTAGACGTGAATATTACTGTTTCCCATGAAACCACTGCATTCGAGAGTTTTGCATGAAACACAAGCAAAAGAGCCATTAGCATAGGTAATGAGCAATGGCTTACCTCGACCGATTTTAAAACACCGTGGAGGGCACAAAGTTACTCGTAAGATGAGTATCCCGTCTAGTATTGCTCCACACACTACTCACTGGTGCTACTAGACTCTGTTGAAACTGAGTGAACGTGTGGCGTGGCCCTGCCAATTAATCATTGTGTACATTGCCTCATTTGAGCCGAGGGTTTTGACTTTTAGGTCTTTGGTTGGTATAAAATACCAATGTTTTTGTAGAGAAGTAGCCAGCATTCCCAGACAAACATGAGATGGTGATCTGTCTTCCATCACCTGTTGTCCTTTACTGTTGCACTAGTGAAGTTAGTGTGTATACTGGCAAACATCATCAAGGCAAAACCATTTGCCAAACCATTGTACTCCAGTGTAAGTGATCGTTGTCATGACTGTAGAGGAAGAAGAAGGAGAAGGAGGAACTAGAGTCAGAGTTGGAGAAGTGTAAAGATGAGGAGAAGAGGAGAGAACTGGAGAAGAAGATGAGAGATTGTGATGAGGTAACATTACATGACTGTTTTTGATGTCACATTGAGTACAGGCATGCCTGAGTTGTGCAAACACTCTGTGAACCCCATGATACATGTATCTGCTCCGTATGGTTATGACTGAGATGGCAGGTTGTCTTTCAAACTCTCAGTGTATAAACTACTGTTTTCTTTCTAAGATGTAAGAGCATTCATGTGATCTGCATGACATTTTTCTGCCCCATTACAGCATGTTGCCAATGCAATAGTTGCCATTGTTCTGTCTTGTGCGTAACTATTTCATTAGTGTATCACTTTCTACTCACTTTGTTTTGCTCATTTGTCGTTTATATCCTCACTGCATAGCAAGGAACAGGTGTATTGAAGCACATAAAACAGAGCCAGTCACATGCACATGCAAATACTTTAACTATACCTAGCAAGCAGTGGGTTTACATTAGCCAGCTCTGTTTGGAGGAGAAGACGTTATAGAGTCATTGAATCACTCCACATACAAAGATATAGACAACCACAGAGAACCTTTAAACGTGCAGTTGCCATGTTGCCGGTTCTTTGTGTGGGTCGCCATTTTGTTAGT